CTGTGTCTCATCGATAAAGCATTTGTAGACCTATGTTTATATGATGTCTTGTTGTAGGGTATAGTCATCCATTCTATGGCAAAATATACAATCAGAAGCATTTCGACCTTGAAACTGTTAAGATCGCTAATGGAATAAGAATGGATATCGGTAGAAGTCAAGATAATTAGAAGTGAGTCCCAAGATTCTTCAGACTAATAAGCACCACGATTCTGCAGACTTATGAGCCCCAAATCCTTTATATCTATGAGCCTCAAAATCCCTCAGATCAGTGAGCCCCAAGATCCTTAAGACTTGTGAACACAAAGACCCTTCAGACTCGTAAGCCTCAAAATCGAAGATAATTACAAATTTGCGCTGGTAGTTGCAACATTGGTGTTTCCCCTTGCGTTTAAATCGCCATGGGCGTTCAACGATTCAATGAAAGCACTGAACTGGAACAAAGTTTCGAACAGGGACGTCTATATCTTCGCTCATACCTGTTGCTGACGACGTGCTCTTCATTGAAGAGCGACCAAGCGAAACAAGTCACTCCCCCCCCTCTCCACCGCCAAGCAAAGGGATTTGGATGTCTTAGACCGCCTTTCCTCATCACATGTAAGCTCACCGAGTCAGAAAGCATACATGGGTAGTTTGAAGAGAACTTTGATGGTTTGTGGGAGAAGTTTCACAAATATACAGGGTATCCCAAAAAGATGGGAAAATCCACAACATGCATATTCCTTATGCAAATACAAATCGAAAAGTCCTTTACCATTTTGTAATCAGAAGCTCCATTTCCGAGATATTAGCAGTTAAACGAACTCCAATCAGTGGCCACCAAATGTGGCTCACTACTCAGCTGATTGGAGTTCGTTTAACTGCTAATATCTCGGAAATGGAGCTTCTGATTACAAAATGGTAAATGACTTTTCGATCTGTATTTGCATGAAGAATATGCATGTTGCGGATTATACCATCTTTTTTAGAACACCCTGTATAAGTAATGCATTCGCCGAACCATGCACCGTGGGAATGATTAGCTTTGGTTCAATTTGGTGTGGCTTCTGGTTCAGCTCGACTCAACTGGTATACCTTAATGGTCTTTCCCAGATTCAAGATTTTTAGAGATTTTTCACGATTTTCGGAGAAAAACTTCGAACTACCGATCGATTACTTGGCTGAGCGAACCTACACGTGCTCACGGAACCTGTACATAGTGATGGGCACCATCGACTAAAAACTATCGACTAAGTTGATAGTAACCAACGACTACTTTCAGTCGACTACTTTTTTAAATCGTCGACTAATTTAGTCGCTTGAACTATCGAGCTATTGTAATTTTTCCATATATTTTTTTATGCATTACCAGGAACTGTGCAAATTATTGCTTATAACCTAATTGATTTTCATAAAAAATTTAGAGCAATTAATTTTTTAAGTGCCAATATTAAATAACTTACAAAAAATCGAATATTAGTAATTGTTTAAAAAAACTTGTTTACCACTTATATTTTTGAATTTCTATCTATGAAGTAATACATTTCAAATATATATTTGTAAACAAAATTTATATATTGTACATATAATTATAAACAAAAGTTGATGTCATAATCTATACATAACCTATAAACCACAATTTCAGTCAACTAAAAACTATCGACTAAATAGTCGATAGTATGTTGCGACTAAATTGTCATTAGTCGATAGTTTAATTTAGTCGATGGTGCCCATCACTAGCTGTACGTCTCGCCAAACGAACTTCTCGTCGAACCACGCGCTATGGGAATCCGCCTTCAGTCAGTACAAAGGTTTATCAGTCTTTTACAAAGCTTATTTCAAAGAAAATTCTGTATACCCTCTCTACTCTTCGAAATGTAGATATTTTCCAAGTATAAGACGATAATATTCTTGTTCTCAGTATTTCGAAGTTAACGTTTAACGATCTCGAGAATGCAGAAGACGTATTTCATTAAGGATAGCCTTTATGGTTCACATTTTAGGCATTTAATGAGATAACCGGTGACATATTTGACCTCCAATCTAACGTCGGTTTCTCAAACTTTCCGGAAAGAATTAATCTCGATCGGGGAATCAGAAGGTTATCAGTGTTTGAACGTTACGATCCGTGTATGATCGTAGACGTGAAAAGCGGCATTATTTCTTAAGACTTTCAGGATAAAGCATTCCAGAACTGAAACGACTGTTACGGACGACAGTCATCCTCTGATTACCAGACGGCGGACGCGTTTATGCGAATATAGTTTTTTTAAATCGATTTCAAGGAACGAGAATTAAATTAAAATTCACTTCTTCCTTTGAGAGTTTCATTAAATTATATATGAAACATAATTTTATTAAATTTTGCTAATATCTTCGTGTTAACGTGTTGCGCTACGTACAGGGTGTCCTAGCTAATGTGATCACTATATGTGTCTACTATTTTCAAAAACAAATAGTAAGATCTTTGGATTGCAACATTATGATTGACAAAATAATTAGGTCAAGGTCATATATCTTTTAAGATTTTAAGGTCATATTATTTTCCTAACGGAATTATATATTCTTTATTACATCATGTAAACAAACCATAAGGTGAATTTAACACAGGACGTAACAACGTAAACTTCAGATAATCTCGGAATGGAGATTTTATGTGAAATTAACTGTCATCTTTCCACGAAGAATTATTACCAAATCCATCGAAAAAAAATCAAATTAATTTCGTTGGTTCTAAAGTCATCTAAAAGTTATTTTGTTATGCATTGTTGATTTTGCCTTGGGGTGGTCCAAAACATTTTGCAATAACAAATAGATCATTTATCGCTTAAAAAAGTAATGATCTTGTTGTAAGCGAGCATAAAACCATAACCTAATTGTTTAGTTAATCACATCAAATAATAATTTCTTATAAAAACATGAAAGTTGATCTATCATAAAATTTCCGCTTATAGGTTATGCTGTTATATACTAGGTGATTTCGTCTCGAGATCTACTATTGTATGAACTTAAATTTGTTTTATTATCAGAAATCGATACTTCCACATTAATGAAACACCTAACCAACATTTCTAAAAAATATCAAATTTTTTTTAATTTTTCATTTACCAGACTTTTGTTTTCACTGGTATTACGCATTATGGGAACACCCTGTAATTGTCTCACTTACGTTTTCAGAAGTAAGCATCTTCCACAGTCAAATAAGTGTAACCGCAGACTATCTATGTCGCATAACCTTACGTAATAAATGTCCGACGAGATGAAATACTTGTTTTATCGTTATATGAACGCCGGGACACCGCGTTCTCTACCGCAGAAACGAGGAAGGCGAATTTCCTTATTTAAAATTAAGTTGTCTGTAAATGAAAAATCGAATGAAGTTAATAAGACGTTTAGATCATGCTACTACCGCCACATTATAATGCTTTCGCGCCAATTTCGCGTGATTAAATATCGAATGATTCTTTAAATTTTGAATTGTTGACAAGAATCAATACCGAACAGAATTTTATGTACCATAAACATTATTAGATGATATTCAATATCTGAAAATTAATTACAGGGAACGAGTAATGAAAATGCCAATACGGGTCAAAAGTGACCCGCCATAGGCCTATGGGTCACTGTTACAGCTGGAAGGTCAACTCTATTTTCGGTAAATTAGTTTATTTAAAAAATCTATCGTTACATAAACGTTCGCAGTCTACTTGTTACCAGACATTAATTTATAGAAATAAAAATTCGACAGAATTTTATTTCCTGTACCATGGATTTCACGAAGTTAATAACAACACATGTAAATAGCATCGAGCTATATTGAAATTTTGATTCTACTGCGATTCGCAAATTAAAAGATACTACAAGTGAATACGCGTCCGCAGTTTGGTCATAAATAATTTAACTTGTTGTACATACTGCTACCTCTGCAGTCATATTTATTGCATTAAAATTGACAAACCGAAATATCTTTTCATCATGACCACTAATACAATGTATTGTGTATTATGCATTACTTAGTGCATTATTTATTTAATTTTAGTTTCAGAATTCATTATAGTACACCTTCACAGTTATAGATAACCTTCTATTCTAAGAATAATATACATATATATCATATACGATACCGATAATTTGCACATATATTTACGAATCGTATGACACTATGGTTAGAATTTACATAACTACAGCGAACAATAAAAGTATTTCAATTTCCGAAAACTTGAAAGTAGTCAGTATTTTAAAATTGTACGGCAGATTATTGTAGATCTAAAAATGTATATATAGTTAATTAATCAATAAAAACACTGTATAAACTTAAGGAAAAACTGAAATTACACAGTACATATAAAGTGTACAAAGTTTTTTTTCAATGTGTATTTGAAATCCCAACGTTTGAATATTTCCGTTATTCGCTGTATTTCTATGTGACCGTTTGAAACGTCATAAAAAAAATCGACTCGAAACGGATAATTAATGTATAGACTACGGATGTTTATGCAGATATAAATTTTTTTGTAATATTAATTCACAAAAATTGGTATTAAACAGGAATGTATCTACTTCATTAAAGATTTTATCAAGCTACAAATAAAGTAAAAATCTGATTAAATTTAAAATTTTTCAACATACTGAATTTTCGATTAGTTAGGTACACTATAAATTCATCAAATCCGTAGTCTAGCCATGTCATTTACAACACGCGGAAATAAAACAATGAAAACAACAATCATACCGACTGTAGAAAAATATGCGTGATAACATGTTGCTCGCGACAGAATACATAACCTCGGATAAAGATGGAAAATAAATTATATAAACGTGGGGAGCAAGTTGACGCTTAGAATAGATTGCTTTTAACGTTCCAATTTAGCAGTCTTTAATCTTGTTTGAAAAATTCAAGAATGACACGAAACGAGACTACGTAACAGTAAGAATGGAAAACTACTGATAACGCGATCATTCATTTCTGCTGATGTTATAAAGATATAATGGAGGGGACAGGAAGCGAATTGATGCTTTACCTTTCTGTCATCTACTTGCAGCATTGTTATCAGTCGCTCGGCTTACCAGGAGTTCCTCTCTAACGTACGACTTTTGTAATCTGGCGAAGGTTATGAAAAGATAAAAGGCTCTGCTTTGGATCCAAGCCACCGTGTTTGGATTTTGCATGTGTACCTATACGTGGCAGTTGTACTCAATCTGCGGATCCTGCAGTTCCTTAAATTATGCTATTTGTATACACCCACACACGCAAATGACACACATTTTACATCTCGTAACAAAAATACGAATTTATATTAATGATAAAATTACTTTAACACCCACAAATTGTAAAATTTGCATAAACTTGAGGCCAAACTATGTAAAAAAACGAAAATGTAAATGTATACAAAGTGAGGTTCAGTTGAGTGTTTTTTCGGTGAAACACTGCTTTTAAACCTAACCTCGCATCAAGCGTAAATAAAAGATGACTTTGAATAAATATAGATAACAGCGTATTTAATAGTATAAAAATTGATATCTTAAGAAAATCCTTATTATTTTCATCATTCGTGTTCCATAATTTTAAAAATTATACGTAATGTTTTTTAAACAAATATAATAGACTTAGATCAAAGATCCTGTAGTTCATTATATAGGGAGGAACAAAAGAAGAAGCAACATAATATTAATCAGGATATTTCTTGACGAATTCTACATTAATTAACGAGTAAAGTGGAAAAAACGTTGCTTCGAACGAACGTTATTAAAGATGGCGGATGTACCTGTGAGCAACGATGGAGATCAATGTACTCCGGCTAAAAAAATTAAAGTAGACGCCGAGAATGGATCCGAAAATGTTAACAACATACACGATGCTAACATCTGTTTATCCAACTTCGAGATAAAAAAGATACTGCAAAACAATTGCTCGAGAAAGCAAGTATGCGTTCACGGTGCCTTTAAGGGACACGAAGGTTCAAGCATTGTTTTGTTGGAGAAACAGGAATTCTCAGACAATCCACAGTCATTACAAACAGAACTGTTCACTAAAGACACGAGCATACAAAAACTTTATAGCAATGATATTTATGGGAATTACGAATGTTTCCCGCTCAAAGAATACAATGGTATGTTATAACGTATTCAAGGTAATACTAACATTTTATCTACTTATTGGGTATTTGTGTACTGTTCAAGGTTTAAAAGTGATGGTAATACACCCTGCAACTCAGAAACATATCGACAAATTTAAGAGGAAGGAACTGTATATTGTAGATGAAACGTATGAGCTTTATAAAAATGTTACTCTTCCATATATAGAATCAAGCAGTTTTTCCTTACAGGTACATGCAATTACAAAATATTTTTATTAAGAGAAACCATATAGGGTAAACGATACAATAGCTGACCACTTAAAAGCTTCAGTTTAGGTAATCGCTATGGAATAAGTAACTTATGAATTTTACAAATGAATGTTCTGTACTAGGTGGAAACAGAGGTATCAGGAATGATTATAACACCAAAGAAACTTTAAGAAATCATTTACTTTCAACATCATAGTATAACAACGAAAATAACTAAAAATTACACTTATTGACCAGTCGTGGCATAGTTGTTGACTGGTCCAGGTATAGTTGACCACTTGCCGAATATAAAAGAAACTATATAAGAAGGCATATTTTTTACTTTAAAATCGAAATAAAACCATTTGCTGATATTTTAAAATTAAAAAAATATTTTCTTGGGGTAGAGTGAGTTCCCCGTGCACTCTTTATGACGTATGCCGTGCACTTCGTCGCGGTTTCATTGGCTCCTCATTCGATTTTTTTGGTTTCTTAGGTTTTGCTCTCATTTGGTCTTTGTTTTCTTCTCTTTGCTTTTTTCTTTGGTATAACGAAGAACCATAGTTAACCGCGTATACGAAAACAGGGAAACAAAGTTTTATTGTGCACACTAATATTACACAAATCAAGTTTCATCGCGATCTTTCAACACAAAGACTAAGAGTGGTCAATAACTGTCTTACCGTGCGTTAGCCGAACCAGTTATTGAACACCCCCCAAAAACACAACATAATCACGTTTGACACGACTGGACGTATGACGAATGTTAACATTGGGTCCTTTCCACATATTATGATCTATGGCATTCACGGCAAACAAAATTAAATAATGATTATACGTCATTAAAAAAGTGGCTGCTCTAAAGGTGCCTGCTAATCCTCTTACCTTCTTTAAGAATTGAAATTACGCATTTTTCTTTCCGATGATCTCACGGCGAAACGCTTGTGCTGAAATGGTCGACTGTTGGTTGAAACGTAAGGTAGTATTGTCTTTCCTGATAAAGGTGCATCATTAATGCGGAGACGCGCTGGTTCATTAGACTATGGCGGCAGAAATTTAAAGTGGTCAACTTCTGGACCCTGGTCAACAACTGTATCGTTTATCCTACTCTTTATGTATACATTGCATTATGTACAATGAAAACATATGCACTTTCTTTATATTGTGTAAACAATTCGATATATTATCCTACATTCTATATGAAATTTTCAGTGGGTATATAATATTTTGGAACAGAAGGCAGAGCAAGATAAGATTGTATATGAGGATAGAGATGAGAAGGTTGGATTTGTAATGGTCAATGATTTGAAATGGAATGGGAATGTAAATACTTTAAAGTTGATAGCACTTCCTTTTCAAAAGATTCTATCAATAAGAGAGTTGAATGCTTCTCATCTTCCATTGTTAAGAAACATTAGGGATGCTGGAATAGAGGCAATCTCTAAAAAATTTAATCTACCTGCCTCTCAACTTAGGATATATTTTCACTACCAACCATCGTATTATTATCTTCATGTACATTTCGCATACCTCATGTTTGAAACCCCAGGTAAATTTTAAATATAGTCAACTGCTTATTCTACATTTAGTTTCGTTAGATTTAACACTGTCGAAATTTATTCTTAAACAGCAGTTTATACGAATTATAATGCACTGTATTTTTTAAACTTAAAGGCATATGTGTATATAAAAATTTTTGGATTGGCAACGCAAAAATATGTAAATTTTTGTTATCTTTTCTACGAAGCTTACGTACATTCACAGTTAAGTGCAGTAGAACTCCATTTACCTGAACAAAATTCTTTTTAATGCGAGTACCTGATTAATAAAATTTGTAACCGAACTTTTATTAGTTGTGATTCTTGCTGTTTGGAATATATGTCTTTTAATGTATAAAAGACCAGAACTATTGGAATTACGGAATCAGTTTGTCCTCGATAAGTTTGAGTACATGGTGTTCTATTGTAACGTTATTACTAATTACTGAAGCACGTCTTATAGTTTGAATGTTTCTTTTATTTAGGCATATATGTGGAAAAAGCACATCTCTTGTCTATGGTTATAAGAAATCTCGAGTTAATGCCTGACTACTATACGAAAGCGGTGCTTTCATACGTAGTTGCTGCGGGGGATCCTTTATACACTAAATTTCTGGAGGAAGGTGTTTTGAGTGAGGTAAAATCAGAGTCAAACGAAGCTGAAAAGTAGTACATCTAGGAAGGACTACATATTTTGGATAATATATTTTGTATGTGTTAATATACGAGAAGAAATACAGCCCATACTGGAACTTTTAAAAGGAAAAAATATTTTATTATGGTTTATAGTCATTGCAACCTTGTACCTGTAAAATAGTAACGTAAACTAAATAGATAACAACATGTACTTGAACAGTGCTGAACAACTATTCTAATGCAAACACAAAAATAATTTAAAACTGATATATTATGCCATTATTATAAAGTTCCTATAAAGTGAAAGAAAAAATGTTTTAGAAAAGCAGAAAATTGTTTCTTTTTTTAATATATGCATTATAAATTAATTCTCATTGTGTTCCTATGTGTGCTTTACATTGAATACTAATAGAATAAACAACTGTGAATTAATTTCCGTTTATTTTTGTCTCAATCATGAAACATTAGGTGAGGTAGAAAATTGATGAAGTAATAATAATCATATGTACATTGTGACAATTTAATCATATTAATTCTAATATATATAAATTAAACACATATCGCTGTACAATATTTATTTTAATAAATATTTCTATCGTATAAATTGCGGTACACAGTACACAATGCAAAGTCATTAAGTACTAATACCAAGAAGTACGTTTTTTTTTCTCTTTAAATTTTACAGCGTAAACAAAAGTGTAGAATTATTTACAAAAAAATGTAACAAGATTGGGGTAATACTTTTTATGCATACTAAAATATTATATTTATCATGTACGAAAATATTATGAAGTATTTTGAGTTTTTAAATATGCACCAATGTCCGAATTGTAATTCACGGTATTGCAATTACAAGAAGATTGAATTTCGCAGATAAAAAGAAGTAATATCTTGTACATATTACAGTTTCTATTATTGTGCGATAGTACACAAGAGGAAGTATTTGAATGGGAGAGTCAAGAAAAATGGAGGTTGAAAGATTTTAATGAAAACAAAAAGTAAGTCATAGAGAATAACTTAGAAACTAAAGCAGAGGAACCGCTATTTAAAAACTTAATCAGTGTATTAAAAATATAATTTATGTGGGATATCTTAAATAGGAGAATGAAAAATGTAATTTTCTGATTTTCTTAGAAGAATGCAATGGATTAACACACATTTCATCGAAACTTCACGTTTTGTATTTATTTATTTCTTAACATGGAAATAAAGTCTTATTCGCGGAGCAGTGAGCAAAAAGATGTAAAAAAAAAAGTCAGCTAGTAAACGCAAAGTATTCATGCCAGGTATATTTTAGTTAATTACAAATAAGTACGTGTATAAAGAGACAAATAAATAATCATATTACATATGTACTTACATGTATACATATGCGAATGTATTCATGCTTTGCATGCGGTGTTCGCATGCGTATGTACAATGAAGATACATCGCAAATAAAGTGTCATCTTCAAAATTAGATTCCGAGTACTCAGAATTGTATTCTTTATAAAATTGTTCGTTCTCAATCTTCCTTATGTGAAAAAGTTTCGAGGGTTAATGAATTCGTCTTGACCATGATATCCTTTCATGAAAGTTTGCTTAAATAAATAATGAAATTTATACAGGAAAATATGGAACAGGAAAACATACACGAATCTCCTCGTTTTAAAAGAAATTAAAAAAATTTTGTTATTCTCCGGCTACAAGACATTACTGTTTTAGGACTCGAGATCAATTACATGTTCAAATACACTCGACATTATAAATGTCAAAACTTGAATTTCTTGTATCTCGAAAATTAGGTGACAAATTCCAAGATAGTTGAAGACTTTTCGATTCGTGTCGAAACGAGGAGTTTCTATGTATTTTAGCTTATGTCGTACGTTGTTGGACTAGAAAAATTTCAGTGACGCCAAGGGTTTGATGCGAATGAAAGGAATTCTAAAGATTTAATGGACCATGATAAACAATATAACGTTAATGATACAGTTGCTTTTAAGTAAAAAATAAAAAAAAAAAGAAGGGCATTTGCGTGCATTGTCATGACATTGCGAGATCAAAAATGTAATTGTTCTATTAAGTTACGTATCCTTAAGTTGTATATTGTTGCCTTAATATTAAATTAAAAAACCAGTTCGAGTAAGTACAGAGTCAAACTTTGGAAGCATAACGGTCAATTTTTAAAGAAACGCACTTAATGCTTATAAAAAATGCTTAACAAAGTAAAGTCGTTCAAAAGTGTCTCAATTAAAGGTAACTGTCACTTCTGAATCACTGAAATCAACATGCAGCTGTAGCGGTTTTCTACTTATGTATAAAGCAAACATGTATGTAACATAAATATATAATACATAAATACCAAAAATGAATGTACTACAATTGTATAATTCTACAAACGCTTTGTACACTACAGTCTGTACATGAAAACCCTGCTTTAAGAAATTTTTAACGACTTTGTCTTTATAACACACAGAAACATTTTAAAAACAATTTAGTAATACTTTCTTGCGAATTTTTTTTTTAAAGCGAAAATCATAATTAAGTAGCAGATATTGACATTGTATAGATCGTAATAATCTCTCTTCGTATACTCATATAATTAAATTGTTTCTATGAAATGAAAAAATACTTTATTGTCCTTTGGAATACAAACTACAAATCATGGTAAAATTGTTCCAAAAATGAGCAGCAGATGATCAAGAGGCTATGATTCTTTTATCCATTCTTTCCTTTAAATATGTGACATTAATAAATTAGAAAGAAAGAATGCTTGTAACCATACTTAAATGATTATTGTTCTGCACAGAAAATATATCTTTACGACGTCCTTTATAAATTTGTTATCAATTTATTACAATAAAAATTGTATAATACTATAGAAACAGAAATACATTAGTATATTATGTGCATATACAAGTACATTGCATGACTATATACATATCCAAGAAAGCACAGTGAACTCCACGTCTAGTGTTTTCACGGTCGGAATTGATTTCTTATACCGCAATTTATTTATAAAATCTTTGTACAGCGAAACCTCGATTATCTGACCACCATGCCCGTATAAGAACATTTAGATGAATTTTATGATATGAAGTGTATAAGAGAAGCCAATGCGAAAGACAGAAAAGTCAGTAAGAAAGTTGAATAGACTTTACTAATGAACATTCAGAGTGATTTTGAATAATTTGTTGCTTCACAAACATTTCCCAGATGGTATGAAAGCGTAAGAAGATTTTGCCTAAAACAGTTATATCAAGGAAACTATTGGACCAGCAGAACAGAAACCAAGTGCAACAATGCAATAGTTTTAATACTGTACAGATATATGAATATTGTATAGTAATTGTACAGTTCTTATAATCGAGATTCTACTGAAAATATAACGAATCTAATACTTTTTATTACATTGTTTTTTGTTACATAATTTTCAGTTGAACATCACGTAGCTAGTACCATACACGTGGTGTATGTATGTACCGTTGTAGTAGTGAATGTACTTTGAAGTTACCAATTCAAATTCATACATTAATAAATTTGTTCGCATTCCAGTTGCATTAAAAAATTATATACATGCTACTGAAGATACAAAACCGAATTGCCACTTTCAAATTTCATTCAATTATGCCTTCCTATTGTTTTATGAAAAACAGTGGTATAATCTTGTATGTATTCCTGACTATATCGATATTTTGAGATGAGATCGTCAAAATATAACGTACATACACTGTATTATATTATTACATCCAGTTTATGCGTGTCAATTTATTACGTTATCTCACATAATTATAATGGATACATACATATATATTATGATGTTCATATGTATGTGTAGTGAAAACATTAGTTTGTTTCATCCTTTTAAATCATCTTGTTTTATCTGTCATATTTATTATCTCGAAAAAGTCTTTTAAAATGCAACGATAACCTCATTTTGTCTGGCATAGTCTAATATTTCATTATAAATTAATTTAAAGCTTCCATTACGGAGTTAGGAATAAATTTTGTTCCTTGTTCTTTTCATGATTTGCTCGGAAACAAAATAATAGGAAAAACAGTATTCCTTTTTTTTTCCTCCGCCTTCAATTTTTTCAGCGTTCACAATAAATTTGTTACACATTACTTTCTACAGAAAACATTTAATTTTGTAACTGAAACCTGCCAGCATTATTATTCTCTCACAGTATGCATTCCATGCACATAAACTAATACGAATCATAAAATTTCTTACAAGTTGTAAGATGTAATACCTAGGTAATCATCTCGTAAATATAAAAAGCACCGTTTTTACATAATTTGCATGATATTCTTGCAAACAATTAAATGTACGTGTATATGCTAGGAAAGTTAGGTGAACATATATAATATGAATGTGTGCGTGTATGTGCCCGCGTGTGCGCGTGTGTATGCTTTTGATATATCACATTAGTTAAATATAAACAATACAAATTAATCAGATGGTAGGAGTAATTGTTTATGAAACCAGCCTTACAGCGGAATTGAATCCAAGATAGATATACGGTGTAGTCCATCGGAAACAGAACACCTAAATTAACTCTCTTTTAGCCTTGAAGACACAAAAAAATATTCTGCATATTTTCTTCAATTATTACAAAAACGCAAATACACTATACAAAAAATTAATTGCACATCAACCAAGTGATTTTCAACAATTGTTCTGATCAACAAATAATCCTATCAGCGAATGAATTCATTAAAAATGGTTTTACAAAGAGTTTTAGCGACTGTTGATTCGTTGTACTGTGTTCATACACTGCAATTAAAAACAAACCATTGATTAAATTGATATGATACATCAATCTTACGCAATAACCCTGAACCATGTAAAAATAAACTAACTAATAAAAATTTCTTTATACACTATATTGTATCTTAACACACTATCGGCTGGTGTCATCGTTTTTCATTTCCGGGAAAACCGTTACAAAAGTATTATTATATATGTATAATTGCATATAATATTAAATACTTTTAATGAAGTTCAGTTCAACTACAGACAGACCATCTATTTTTAGACGACCGGCCGTTTATAGTTTCTCTTCGCAACATCTAATTTTAGACGACCAGGCGACAGTGTGTTAAAATATTTGAATTATACGAGGAATATCTTTTTCATGTCATCAAAGTTAAAAGTATTTAACTCATCTATTCCCGTTGAGCCATTCTGTATTAGTGACAGACACTACAGTGCCCTCTGATCAGGTACTTAACGTGCACTTGATAACACGTTGCCTTAGAAAGAAAGTATTCATTTTAAATCAGTATGTTCATATAAAAACGTCCTACATTTGTTTCATTAAATTACGACACGTAATGCTCTACCGCATGTATGTATGTTACAGAAAATAATACATGATAATCAATTGAATTCGATACATTTTAAAGTTGCCGCACACGTTACTTTGTTCGTACGAACAGAACAATGTTTTAGCTTGTAGAAGACATATCATTTAAACAGCATCATCATTGAAAAATAACTGTATGTTATTTGACACAAACATAATTCAACGAGGTGTTTCCAGTCTGATCACGGTCCCCCGTTATTAATACTGTTTCCATGTTGTTATTATTTGAAAGCAGTACTACATTTCTTGTAAACGATTAAACATACGACTGAATTTTCCTTTCAAGTCAAAAAGATTGTACGAAAATGTTAAATAATTGTGTAAAAAAATCACAACGTCATAAATGAGTTAAAAGAAAAAAAAAAGAACGCGTTCTCCGTTAAAATAAATTAAATAAACAACTTTTATATAGCACTTTTGACTATGCCACGCAAGTGCCCAAACAATTTCAATAATTTTTCTTTGCGTTTGGTCTATTTTAAGTAATTATTTACACTGTTCATTACATTATAAGGGCTTATGCATACAATGATATTAGTTGACACAGATAGCAGTCCAATCGACCTTAAGTAAGAAGAAAACGAAGCTCAAGAATGAAACTAATTTCCGAACCAAGCTTCTCTTTCCCGAGAAGAGAACAATAACTTCTCGTGTGTACGATTAATAATTGTTTCCTTTCTTTTGTAAACCTAACTATCAAGGTGCACAAACGTAACGAAGTAAACACATTAACCCTCAACAGTTTAACTGCCAACATCAGTAAATTGTTAAATTAACGAAAAAGAGGAAGATATTTACATGCACTCGAGGAATATGAAATTAGCACTGTTCGATAGTAAAACACAAACTGAAGTAAAGGTTTTCTCAGAATTACACGACCCTTGTATTGATATGCTTTACAATTTTTTAAACAGAAACTATTTTCCCACCTTCTATATTACGTATGGTAACATAAAAGAAAATTAACTATGTAAATAAACCGTATTGTAGCTTGTTTTTAGTTTCTAATATTTTATATTATATAAATAATTAAACGTAACTATTATGCCTCAAATACAATTATCGTGTAAATTGAAGAATACCTGCAAAAGTATTGTGTTGTGCATAAATGTTCTATGATTACAGTTAGTATGTGGATCATCCAAGAAACATGAAATTAATTAATGAAATAATTGTAAACATTGTGAACATCGCTTGGAACCTAAGAAAAGAAAATAAGTAATAGTTGTTATTGCTTTTTTCATGTAAGGCAGAAATATCAAATGAATATTAGATACCTAATACATATTTGTGCTTATAGAAATCCGTTTGACTAGTTGGTCATGATCCACTATGCTATTAGTTAATTGTCATGACAGTGCCTTATATATACAATCATGGAAGAATGACTTTTATGATATCAACCAGTCGTTAATTGTTCATTGAAATAAGTAGGTACTGGCTTTCTTGCGGATTGAATACTCGCATAAGGATTATTGTACTTTCAAATGAGATTTTTTCACTTGTAATGCCATTTCTATTGCATCAATTTTAATTTAGTATTAATTCGGGAGAAATCAACATAGTAGTGTATCATTTACTATTATTATTAAGCCTTTAAAGCTTCATTAAAAAAAAGAAGAAGCAAAAGGATGTACCAAAAAGTAAATTCTATTTTTACAAAAAAAAAAAAAATTTAAGCATAAGCATTAGTTGTTAAACATGCACATGCATCAGTATTAAATACGTCAATCTTAAAATGTACAAAAAAAAAAAAAGAAAATCAATTTAGTACTACTGAACATTCAGGTTAAAAACTTAAATGGAAAACGAATCATATAAAAGTAATATATGAAACGATGCGTTGTACAAATGCTATATACTATACACTTTTAAGAGTGATAAAGTTTTATTCCATATAATTCAATGTTAAAAAAGAGAAACAATTTAAGTTTGAATATTTGCAAACAAATTGTTTCACAGATACTCTTTCTTTTGCTGTTTTACGTAAACAAATTAACAAAATGCCATATAATTTCATTAATAATGACATTTCACGAAACAACAAAAATTTCGAATTTCTAGTTTGAACAAATAACCTTACTGTTATATATTACAAAACTTAAGTGTTCAGTACAGACAGTACTTGGCATTACACAGCTTCGCAATGTGGAATTTCTTTTCAAGTCAAACCTTCAAATTAAAACAAACTTGCTTCCTCATCGCGAAACAATAATAGAGCGTACACGCTTAACATAAAATTTCCGTGAATCTTCCTATTTATCACATTAAAAATGTACACATTTCGAAAAACAGTTACAAAACATTCTAACGTTTACTTTACCGTTCGAAAGCCAATACGCAAAACGTATTACTAAACTAACAAATTGGGGGCATTTAAACATATGAAAAAAAAAGTACAGAAATGAGAGTATCGATACAATGATCGTTTAAAAATTAATTTGGCGTTCTGACATTTCATATCAATCTTCTTGAACGATGAACAACGGCAGGTGTTTTCAATGTATATTAATGGCTGGTTTTGGATGATCACATGACTTAAAATGGCGCCACTTGCCAAAGACATTAAATACAGTTTGTATGCTGGACTAGCTTCGTATTACGACTTGAGAGAGATTTGTGTCTATGACAAGTCGTCGTAGATTTAGGCGTATGCTGTAGGAAGATCAAGTACAGACTACACTCTTTAATTATTTTTCGATTTCTAGTAAACGAAAAGTATTACAGATTTGCTGATCAAATTTAATTCTATTTCACGTTCCATTGTATCTGTATATTATAGTATATTCAACGACGATGTTATGAAAACTGATGGACGTGGAGCACTATAAAATATTAATAAAATACATAGTTTAAAATTTTAAACGTTCATTCTTTCATGAATCTGTGTAGTCTGTATAGAGGTACTAAATTTAATATAAAGGTCAGTGATCATCTACGATAACTAGATTATGTATATGTTATTGTTGCTCCGGTTTAGTTGTTAATTATTTAATACTTCTGTTGAAATATCATACAAGTGAGCAGGGTATGTATCTGTAAGATCAACCTACAGCATGTTTAAACAAGACGCGACTAACTTTTAAATATTGTTAAACCCAATCGTAGTTGCGTCCTATGGTCATGTATAGTTAAATAACACTGTATCATTTCAGATGACAAATGAGATGCAAAACATGTTTCTAGAAGTCTCTCATGGAAGACGTTGAAAGATATCCCCTAAGCATTCAACTCGAGAGATGTATGAAAATGTATTACTTAAATACTGTTCTTCTGTGAAATATTACACAAATAGTCTATATTGATCTCAAGAGAATCAGAGGTTTCGTAATTTCTATACGGTCGAACTATAAAAGTTTTATTCTAGTAAGACTATCGATCTTCGTACGATTTGAGAAAATTAAGTGTACAACGCAGAATTTTCTGGAAAAGTATTATACAAGTTCTTTGGACAGGTATGTTGTTTTTTTTTTGATATCTCAAAATAAGTGCATTCACGTGTAAAATCTAAGCTCGCGTTCAGATTTCCATTGAGAAACACACTTGAAACATGTTTAAGTAATTTATACTCAATTTCTATGAAGTCTTAAGTCTGGCCAGAATCGCAGCTTTTAAGCTTCGGTAGACGTTATCAGGGAATTCTTAGGTGTATACGCTGTCGCGTTTGGATCTAAGTTCGACACTGTACACCCTGGCCGGGGACTTTCATTAGAACGTATTTTTGTACCTGCGACTCGCACTTCATTGTTCAACCGAAGCTTGGATGTCGCGCAGGTGGGTGCAGGGCCAAACGTATCTTGTGGCATCACAGCTAAATCTTGGGCTATTTTTGTTTTTAGCATTTCAATTTCCTTTTCTTGAGATCTAATTAAACCTGATTCAACATAAAATGCATGATGTATAACATATACCTTGCTTACTGCATTAATTCTTACATTTAAATCGCGAATAATGTATGCGGTATCCCTTTAATTCCAAATAATTTGAAATAATTATTTTTTAATTTACTTATTCATCATTTACTCCGTTACAGGGTAGCACCATAAATTCCTGGCCTAACTAGGTTAGAAAACAGACGAAAATACATATAAAATTTATTTACATATACGAATTTTGCCTGTGACTACTGACACTCTATTCTCATCTCCTGTTCCTGGATTAGTACTATCATACACGCGCAAATAGGTTAGGCCGGGAATATTTGGCGGGACCGTATGTTAGAACAGGGTATCCCACAACGAATGATACAACCAAGGAGAAAGTTGTTCTATGTACAAAAACAAACGAAATTTTTTGTTACGGTGGTAACTCAATGAATTTTCCAAATCGATTTTTTCTAATATTACTCTACACTTTTAACATGGTTTCGTACGTGGAATCACTTCCTTCTCAACTGTACTACTTATTACAGGGTTTCTTATATGTTATGTTACTTAATTCATATAATTTAAGTATGTAAATTCAGTTTTACTTACTCTCTTTGATTTCTAACTGTCGCCTGGCTTCACCAAGTGCAGAAAATAAGTCGAGCTTTATACGTGTTTCTGCACTTAAACTGTCTTCTAAATGAGCAGTTTTGTCTTGTAGCGCATTAAGTGCGGCAAGTAAAATTTCAGACTCTTTGTGATTCTCCTTACAACGTGCAATATCTTTTTCCAATGCACTGTACCTAATAAACAAAATCATTTTGTTGTCACAGACTGAATTATCGCGGATAAAACGCAGAGTGAACAATTAAACATTTCGTCGTGACATCGTCGTCTCAACACCGTCTATCACATCGCGATAAAAAAAAACATGGTATTCCATTAAAAAAAATAGAGGTCACCTTGAAATCTCCTCTATGCCTTCACCCACGCAGAAAATGTTTGTGTCACAATATGCCCCCCTCTTTACCGTGTAAGTTTTGTATATAACATTTTTTCATATTATTATAAATAACGGCAATATTCAAAGTGGACATAGTTATTGCCCCACCCTGTATATGATATATTAAGTATTGTATATTATACACAGCACATGTAGAGTCTAGTATAGGTTACTGCCACGTGAGGGACAGAATAATATGTCATTTTTATTGGAGGTAACAGATGAATGTAGCGGGTTAAACTTTTACATACTGTATATTCAATATATTAATACTACTTCCCGTAAAATGTGTTTTGTCAAAAATTGTCCTGATTATAGTATAACTTAGTTACACTTCTATTACAGGTAGAAAATACTATCATGTATGAAAGTTAAAATTCAACTTTTAATTGTATTCAAGCAAAGTGTTAACACAATAATAAATATTTTAGTTTATTTCTAAATAAAAGAATAATTCCCCATGAGAAAAAATCTCATAAAAATATAGTTAACTTTCTTTTATAAACTATATATTACTCGCTACGATTGGTAACCAACGTTACCGCGGAAACTCGGCCGGCAGACTCGAGCTCTGATTGGTCGGGGTTTTTTGTTAAATCGCCTCACGAGTGTCCCATTTCAGGGACCTGCAATATTTTTTATTACACCGTGTATAGACCCATTAAGGAGAGTCAGGGAAACCAGGAAGAGCGAAAGAATTACCATGGCTGTGATAATTAACCTCTTAACCGTGCGTAAAGAATTTAAGAGATTAGAAGTTAGTGTCTTAAGGCTCAACGGCTTGCGCGTTAAGAAGTTAAGGCACGGATTGTCCAGTCGAAGACACAGAGTGATCAAGACTCACTTCCCCGGTACCTCTTTTTCCTTAGGTTCCTACACTAAGGTATTTACCTTTCGTCTTTTGTTTTAAGCTCCCGCCGCAAACTCTTAAGGTCCTGCTCCATTTGCGTCCGACGAGTTTTACACGAATCCGTGCACTCTTGTCTAATAAGCGGCGCAGGAGGTGGTGGAATCGCAGAGCGTGCCTCCTCTGCGACTCGTCGTGCTCGTCTTTCAGAAAGTAGGGACGCTTCACAAGCAGTCCGCTGTTTTCTTTCTTCTGTGATTCTTTTCTCCAACGACGATATCGCTTGTTTATCTAATTGACGAGCTGTTACTAATCCATGTAATCTAACGAACACACAAATATGAACCGAATTTATTCGTACGTCGGAAAGAAAAAAACTGTTGGATGACAATTTTGAAAAATAATGATGCGTAACTTGAAATGCGCTTATTGAGAATGGTGAACAAATTTAAGATTTAACGTGTTTGATATAAAAAGTAGTTTGTTACAGGAATAACGAAATTCTTAAACTATAATAAGTATTTTTCCATCATTGTAGGTAACTGTTTGAAATTTCTCAAGCAATGTAATTTTTTGTAGAATATGATGTGAATAACAACAAGTGCACTAGAAAATGGAACCCTTGAATCTTTGGAATTACTTTTTACATATTTTAAAGAACGTATTGAGTATGGAAATAGATAACTAAAAATGTATTACTACTAGTTATGCACTAATATACGAACAATACATCTAACGTGACAATACAATGCTATACAATGGTATCGCAAATATAGTTAAAATTTTTATTGTTATGTAACAATAAAATTCAATTAAAAATACTATTTCAGGAAGTCCTCCTTGACCGCTTACATTAAAAAGTGTTCATTCACTTACTTGCTCTGTAACTGATCATTGTCGTGTTGGAGTTGTTGTATTTCACCCTTAGCTTGGCGTTCCCCATTCTGTAGAGTATTTATTTGTGAACGAAGCTCCTGTTCCAGTTGCCGACTGGACTGCAAGTCTGACTTCAAGCGCTTTATGTCAGCCTCATGCCTGCGACACATCAGTAACCTATTTAAATGATATCAGGTTAAACAAAAGAAAAATATGATAATTTCATACTCTGTCATTCGATAAGAAACGAACATTATAGTGAAGAAATCCGAATACAGGAAAAAAAAACTTCTCCTTGTATATAACCTACTTAATGAAAATACAAATATCTGTCTGTTGAAATCTTCATTGCAGGCTTTATTTATGCACAAACGATGAATATAAAAAAAAATTGAAACATTGCAATCTTTTATCCGCGTAATTGAACAATACAAGTGATATACCTCTGACAATATTCGTCTTGTTGTTTCTGTTGCTCGCTTATAGTATCAACAGGAGATTTAACTTGACGAGTTTTACGTTCACGTTGAGTGTTAACAGTGGACGAGGACTCTCGATTTTCTTTTATGTTATTCCATTTCCCCGTTACAGAACCATTCGTCTGCGACTTCACTGCGGTGTTCCCACAGTTCCCACCTTTGACAAATTTGTCTTTCTCGATTTCGTTCGCGTCGAAATCGTTCACAGATCTGAATGTTAGATTTAGAAGTTTAATAAATTACTTGATCACGAAGTATATGCATACACGAGGAGAGCAGCCTATTACTTACCCGATCCTATCGATAAATTGTATATCATTGTGAGTGACACTATTTCCATTAGTGTGTATAAACCTTTTATCATTCTTATCGGACTGTGAGATATTTGTGATATTATGCTTATTATGCTGTTCCTCTTGTTTCTCACCTTTGTCTAAGGATTTCCTATGATTATTTTTTGTTGTAGCATTTTGAGCTTGTGATGTCACTTGCGCACCTATATGTAAACTACCATTTTGTATACCTATTTCTGCAGAGTTATTATTGTTTCCTATAATGCATTGAGATATCGAATTAAGCGATACTTAATTGTACAGATAATTGTGTAGAGCATACGGAGAGATGAAAATAAATACAAACTACCTCTGCTCTTTTCAGGACTTGGATTGTACTGCGGACAAAATTTATTGGATTGCGTTTTAACATGCTGCTCAAACGTCGAGGTAACATGTGATTGCGACTGAACCTGCTGAATCTGTTGCACCATTGTAATTTGTTGTTCTAGAGGCAGTGCTTGCTGCAGCAATTGTAAATAGAATTCATTTTCTTTCGCTACATCTTTCTGCTTTCTCTGGAGGAATAAATTGTTACATATAGATATTGTAAAACGGTTCCGTAAAGCTCATCTATTTTAAAAATTTACCTCTCTCATTCTGTGACCAATAAAACATTTAAAACCAAAACCTAATGTAACTACGGGATAACCAATGCTGAAAACAAAAGATATTTCACTTGAATTATTAACATGGTATTTCCAAACAACACAATATATATGCGGTAGATGGTTTCTTTATCCGTTCTTTACAGAAACAACGTGAGCCTGAATAATAAAGAAAAATATATATATACCAATGTGCTGCAAATGGTCGACAGAGATCCAAGTGAAAAGGCATATGTCGTATATCTCTTAATCGAACCGCTGCTTCTATGTATAGAAATAATAACCATAGCATCACAGTTGGTAGGCACACTCCTTTGTCTATTTAATAATAGTATTACATTTGTATTAGTTTTATTGCTTAAATACGATTTTAACATTTTTAACCTGTAGACTGGGTAATTTCTTTTTAATTCACGAATAACCATACAGTACAGTTAACATGTTCTATGTTAGATGGCTATCGGTGATCCATAGTACATATTGGAAACAAAGCTTAAACACAGGATAATATTACTCTTTAGTGCAATATTAAATCGGAACATCGAAAATGCAACAAACTACAAAGCATTTAAATATAACTGTGACTTTCCTACAATCAAATACAACAAATCGAGATTCAATCAACTTTTCACACATTCACCGCCATATCTACTTTATCTCAATAGAATTGATATTGAAGTGTAACTATATAATTTTTGAAGAGGTTGCTTGATTTAACGGGTTCAAAAAAACTGGTACAATTTTTCCCTTTTATTTGGTATTAAAAATGACTTGTGTGAAGGTTTACTGAATGGACCTAGAATACCAGATGAAAGATATGTGATACGATGAACTCTTAAAGTTCTAACTCACTTAAAACTTTGCATACACCCTTGGAAAAATTGTTTCTACAGCATAAACTAAAATAATAGCTGTAGCTTCATTACTTTTTCGTTGATGTTCGAAAACTTCTGATTTTAATCGGAAATACAAATTTTTTCTATTAAACATCACTTCCATACTTATTAATCTTTTTGAATTTATTTGATTTGTGCTATTAAGAACCATGTATATGTAGATTGTAACCGCAGTTGAATTTTTGTTCCCAATCTACTTCAGGAGAAGTAATCTGCAATGCAATAAGCTACTGCATCTTGGAAGGCTTCTGTGAATTTCAAAATATTGCCTAATTGATTCCAGAAACTTCCACTATCCATTATTTCTTACCAGTTTCATTTCGCAAACACTTCAAAAACTGTTTATTTTTGAGTCCTGTGACAGAGCAACCCCTTTAATAATAAAATATTCAATTATTAACGAATGTTTTTGATAGATATATGTATTTCTTTAGTCTATATGTCTTTATCCAGTTATATAGGTGCATACGGTTTTACAGTATGAACATTTCAATTATGAGATAGAACAATTGAAAAGCTATGTTCATTATCACAGAACAAACTGGTGGCGAATGTGTTAAAAATATTACTGGAAGCCTAAAATTTCAGGCGGTGTATATGCTAAAAATAAATAAGAAGGATTTCTTGTGCTTTCTGCCACAACGTATAAGAATCTTACATAATTTATACTAATAGAAATAGTACCATATAATACAATTTAGAAATCTTTATGTAAATAAATAAAGAAATGGAGAATCATTGAAAGATATAAATGAATACAAATAACAAGGTGGTAACTCATCGATCCCAGTTCACAGGTTAAAAGAAATTGTCGCGTATACTTTATATTCACCTGTGTGCCATACATATTGTACCCAAACATAAGTGCTGGCAGCAAAGAGCAACCAATGTACTGGTATGAAGAAGAAGCAAATCATATCTGATGTGAGTGCAATACAAATAAAAAATACAGAGAAGGCCTGAAAATAGAACAGTTTATGTTACTACCACAGTAAATGTATTCAATTACGTTGCGGAAAATTTCATTATGTTGGCTTTGTTTACTTACCAAGCCTTGATATTTGAAAGAATCGTAAACGCTTCTGAGAAGTAGCCAAAATGGCCACAAAAATTCAAAACGGAATTCTAAAATGAAGTCTGCCAAAATTACTATGGTCCATAGTAGAAGAAATTTCAGATAAAGCAAAGTACTGAAACCAAAAACAAGACCATATTACTGTTTAATCATATTCCTTTTTTCACACCACAATATGCAATATAAAATTACATTTGACAAGAAAAGAAATTATGTAAACATTTATTCCATACCGCAGTCTTTTCATGTAAATTTTTATTCAAGCCACATGTGCCACTAATAGTCCATAGTAACGCTATTATAAATTTTTGTAATGATCACTTAATATTTATAAGAATGTACATATTAATTTTATCAATGAAAAAAGCAACTAATAAAGAAAATATTTCTTTTTAAATACGTAGAATTGATAGATGTTACAATGTATTCTGCTAATAGTAAAAGTTGTCAACGACCAAACGGATAGTTTATTGTGACCGCAATTGAGCCACTGGTCACAGAATGTGTTCACTGTACAAACATACACATAAACAAACTAAATAATCGCATGTTTTCCATGTCATCTCCAGTTATAAAATCTTCAAAATAAATTGAATTTTACAATTAAACATGTTACCTACACTCTACACATTATACTCCAAATTCAATCGAGTCTAAAGTTTTCACAACTATATTAAAAATTTCTTACTTCACAATGTTGTTAAACAGATCCGAACAAAGAAGTCTCTTAAGCGTTTTCCAAATATGTTATATTCACCAAAGTATAAACAAATACTTGTTTTGTGGCTGTTGGATAATTCGTGTATAAAAGGGTTAAAAAAAAAAAGCGGGGTACACTGAATTATCCTATTCTGAACCGTTAAGTATTCATGATCGCCGCGTGTTGAGATTGCTTAACATTACACCAAACAGCTAATGTTGTACATGTTTTTAGAAAAACAGGTACGCATGGTTAAAGTTTTGGCAAATGTCAAGTTATGTCACACACAGCTTCTAGTAAAGCGGCCGACAATCTCCCGTTGACACAGTGCATTGCAGGTCCCATAGAGTTCACAGAAAATCGGTAATGACAGAAATGTTTGATCGGCGGATCGAAAGCGTTCGAACGGAAGGTCTGTTACAATTCTGGTTATTTTTAAAATCAGCCGTTCCAACAAGGAGACATATGGCGGCGAAAATTTACCTTCCGTAGATTCCCTCGGTGAGCTTGTTGCGTTTCAAGGGCCTCCGAAGCTTACCGCACTCGACATTTCTTCTCTTCATATTCCTAGACACTTTCACCACGACCAAAGCGACGTTATTCGCGGCGGACAACAGAACCGAAAAAACCGCAAACCCTCTGCGGAGTCGTGTAAAAATCCACAGTCTCGCGCGCGACTTCTATTACAGACTCTTTTGTTGTCATTCGTCTGAGGATAGATTCGAGGTTTTACAGCGGTTTACCAAGCAGCTGATTGGTCCATTGTCAGACATGGCGCTAATCACCAGGGAAAATCACCTGCTGAAATATTTATTATGCGACGCGCTTTTCAATAAACCACCGACGTTCTTTCCCGCGGTTCGACGACTAAATCCGTGTTTCACTGTGGAAATTTTTGTTCGAGATAAGTCCCGATTATAGACTTTATCGATCGTACATACTTTCGATTGTGCCGTCGGTCAATCGACTTGTTTCACTTACGTTAACGGCGCTCTGACCTGACAATATGTGTTGTCTCTCTCTGTCTCGCTTTTTCGCACTCTATGCCTCTCGCTTCCACCCTTCCTGTTCACCGTATTCTGTAGTACACCGTTTAATAAAATACTTGTCCATCCCACAGCTGTCTCTCGAGAAACACTTTGAAAAACAACATTCTTGTCTATGACACAATTTTCTGTGGTATGGATTACACCGCTTTACACACATATGATGTTCTGTCGGTAATCAACTTGTTTGATTTTCCCACTTCCAATCTGTGAAGATTCCTTCGATTTTGGCTTGATAGTAATATCACTTCAAAAGCAACACTGCTGCGAATACAAAATTATTGTATTTTCACGTGAGACACAGACTCCCATCACAACAAATCGCGTGACTTTACAGGGACGTAGCACAACTGAGCACAAACGAAAATATTTGCTGGAAAAAAAGAACCAGTTCATTTACAGCAGAAAACGACTCTACAAATTTCACGTAAACACTGTGCCGTTAATTTAAAGAAAAGAAATGTGGTTTTGCGTTCGAAGATACGAAGATTTAATATGGCGTTCCATTTTGAAAAATTAAGACAAGAGACTGCAAGAGACTTTGACTTTATGCCCAGGTTTATTGCAAGTAGGCACGCACCTATTTGGTATAAAATGGACCAATCAGAGAACCACTCCACTCTGACCACTGAAGGTCCTTAACCGAAATGAGAGCTCTCTCTAGGTTGTGGTATTTAATGATTAGATCGCAGCGCCAGGACACGAGGACGGCACTTTCAGCAACCAGTTCGATCATTTGGCGCGTATTCATTTCACTCGTGTATGTATATTATTATATTTGCAATGAAGAAACGAGTGCATGCTAACAAACTCATTCAGAATTGAATTATTTATAGTTTATAAATATTCACTCACTTCATAATATTACGTTCGCATTAGCATCGTTTTTCGATTGGTATCATTATCAGTATAAATATTGAATACATTTTGTTAGATCAAATGACAGAAATTCAAATGAGTCGATTGTCGGTATAACAGTTGTATACGTGGTGTAGCATTGTGGATTCCATAAATTTATATCTTGACATTATTAATAATGTCTTTTATTGACTCTTTTCGTTTTCTATTTCATGGAGTTGATCAATTTGGTTTCTACGTAATACTTTCAAGACCAACGTATTATTACAAGTATCCAGCAAACAGCAATGTCTACGTACCGTCTGTATTGTTATTAAGTATATTATTAGTGTAATAATGCAAGAAAATTTATCACATTTGAAAACAGGAATTCAGGCGAGTCAGTTACCGATAGAGCAACATATATATGTGTCTCTTGTGGTACAGAGATCCAACCTTAAAGCCTACTCATAAGTGAATATTGACTGAAAGAAAGTAGTGTTCTGGAAAGATATAGTTGGATATAGTACTGTTCGTATTGTTTTCCATGTTTTTTCATTTCACTGTTCATCAACACTTTTTTAAAACTACGAAAGCAACTGCATTGCCTAAGCGATTCGCCATTTTTACATATTTTTATTTTTCTACTATACAGTGTCTGTATTAGCACATTCTCTCTGAACTAAAGAGTAAATAAATGGTTTTTCGATGTGATTAATAGCGTGTATACTTTCTTTCATTTTTTGTCGAACGGCACGTCTAATTTGTATCAATTTTTAATTATATAAACAAATTAATTCATTCTTACGGCACAATTTCATTTTGAACGTTACTGTTAGCAACATATTGCATGATGTTCTTAGTACAACCTAATGTTACTTATTTAGTTTCCATTTACATTACAAATACAAAAATTTACAGACTTTATATCAATTCATTTTTATCGTTTTCGTAAAATATGAATAAATTCCTTTATTACTTTTAAATGTCAAAGTGGTACAAAACGTTAAATATATATTTATTTAAAGTTCAAGGAATTTAGCCACAGTAACGAGGAAATAATTTTGTAATAGATATCTTTAAAATAAGTACATGAATAACATCTTTACGATTTATTCATTACCAAATCTTTCAGTCTTCGCGTTACGAAATCAGAATGAAATCACGGTCTCAAAAATGTACATATTTATGTTTATTGCAGAGTGATCGGAACTTTCACTTTCGCCTGATATATTTTCCATGCCAAGTTTGTTATGACTCTGGGAAGATGCTGTTTGTTGTCAATAATTCGGTACACGTGTGAATTATCTAAACAGCGTTGCAATCATAATCGTGGCGCAGTATCACACTTATACCAAGGTGCTTTTTTATCAGTCGGTACGCAACGATCACTCAGGTAGCACATGCCAACAAAAATATACATGATTTTCCTAGCAATATTATTTTCTTGAAAAACGGATGTCGTGTTTTGTTTATTATAATATACACATTCACGACAAATAAAGCGTAATACACGCAAGTTTTCCTTACTTTAACAATAAAATATAAGATAATAAAAATTTATGAATGTTAAAAAATAATTGGTGAATTTGTGTTTGAGAACAGAGAGCATTAATGTGTAATTTTATCATCTTGTATCAAAGTGTTTGTACAGGTGCATGAATATTTAATTTCAAGAAATTATTTCACTTCTATTAGCAATTCTTTTCAATAATACTTGTAACATTAATGTAGAACATAAATATTTAAATAAGAAAATAAACAATTTCATAGGGTAAGTGAGAAATCATTGACTGGTCTGTCATTTTCCACAAATATGGCTTCAACGAGTAACTCTAAAAACAAGCAAGAGGGCAAGAAGAATCGTCTTGCTTTAGAAAAGTCTCCTTATTTGCTACAACATGCTACCAATCCAGTTGATTGGTATCCATGGGGCAATGAAGCCTTGAACAAAGCAAAAGAGGAGGATAAAATAATCTTTCTATCTGTTGGATATTCTACCTGTCATTGGTGTCATGTCATGGAGAAAGAATCCTTTAAAAACAAGGAAATTGCTGAGATTATGAATAAGAATTTTATTAATGTAAAAGTTGACAGAGAAGAACGGCCAGATATTGATAGGATATATATGACTTTCATACAGGTAATTACATGGTTATTCCATACTCTTCTCAATATCATAAATTTTAAGAAATATTGTTTAACATAGGCCATGACTGGTCATGGTGGGTGGCCAATGAGTGTATTCCTTACTCCCGATTTAAAGCCCATAATCGGAGGGACATACTTTCCTCCAGAGAACAAATATGGGCAAACTGGATTTAAGACTGTTTTACTAAATATTGCTGAGAAGGTATGTAGAATCGGAATCAGTGGAAACATATGAACCGTTATTATATGAATATCTATTACTTTAAACCATTTTGCCTTCCAAATGTTTTGATAACCAGAGTTTCAGTGTAGTTTACAACAATCCTTGTATCAGGCACGGGTTAAGATTTTTTGTGGCCCAGAGCTATCAAATTTTCCAGGGGCCCCCTTGGTTGAAAAGTGGGGGGGGGGGATTTTTTTTTGTAATACAGTACAACAAAATATATAAATCATAAAAAATTGAAATTTATTTTAAGTAAAATTAAATAACATTTTTATTACAAAATGGAAGGTTCAGAACATGGGGCCTGGGGCTACAGCCCCCTTAGACCCCCTCTTGATCGGGTGCTGCCTTATACATTTTGTACTATGAACTAAAATTTTGATATATAATAATTAATATCTCGTATTAAAATGCAACTTTTTTATGTTTTATATTCTTTAGTGGAAACAGTTAAAAACCAAAATGTTAGAATCGGGTTCTCTTAATCTTAAAACATTAGAAAGTATATCTAAAGTGCTCCCATCATCAAAGGTGAGACAATAAAGAATAAATTTGAATTTTCTTCATGCCTCTTTTGATAATAGAATTGTATTTATTATTGCTTAGCGATTTTCTAATGCAGAGAATAGATCCGCCATTATTGGAGTGTAGCCAGATTTGTATTCATCAATTCACGAGCGAATTTGAACCAGAATTTGGTGGATTTGGCTCGTTTAGTATGCAATCGCCTAAATTTCCGCAACCGGTGAATTTTAATTATTTATTTCACATGTACATGCGTCAACCTACTGACGAGGTTGCTCAACATTGTCTGCATATGTGTATATACAGTTTAAAGAAAATATCTTATGGAGGTATACACGATCATGTAGGTCAGGTAAGAATTTTCAATTTGGATGCACGATGGAACAGTTATTTAATTTGTTATTGCAATCCGTTATTTAAAACATATATTTATGAACTTTTATATTCATTTTTCATTAGGGTTTTTCAAGGTATGCAACTGATGGACAATGGCATGTTCCCCATTTTGAAAAGATGTTGTATGATCAGGGTCAATTAATGCAGTCCTATGCAGATGCGTATCTTGCAACGAAAGATGTTCTTTTTGCTGAAATTATTGATGATATTGCCACTTATGTACTGAGAGATCTCCGTCATAAGGTATAGTTTTTATTTCTTTAAGTTGCAAATTTATCAGACCGTATTAGGTCGAAACAAATTGTACGAAAAGAGAATGTAATGTTTTTCTCCGCCCTGTTAAATAACAATTGCGTAAAAACAGAATTAAGTGTGTATACAGTAATCCATTACTTTATTGATGTTTATATTTAGTTTTCATGTTATTTATTTTAGGAAGGAGGCTTTTACAGTGCTGAAGATGCAGATTCATATCCTACGCACGATGCAACAGCCAAAAAGGAGGGTGCATTTTATGTTTGGACTGCCGAAGAAGTTAGGACACTCTTAAATAAAACAGTTTCTGATAGAAAAAATATTAAACTGTGCGATATCTTCTGCCATCATTTCAACGTAAAGGAATTAGGGAATGTAAACAAGTATCAAGTACGTTTGTCATTTATTTATAATATGCGTGCGTGTTGTGATGAAATAGTAAAATTGTACAGAGCATTAGGAAAGGTTAAAACTCTTATACTGCTCATTAACGTAAATGAAAAGTTTGATCGAAATTTAGGTCGAAGATATTCAATGTAGAATTAATTTCTAGCTTTTGTAACTTTTATTTTGTTTATCACATACAGTGTTCAGACAATCCATTATATATAACCATATTCATTCTTTAACATTTTCAAGGCAGGTCCCCAAGTACCAAAAGTGTTTCTTTTAATAAAGTTCATTGATCTAGGATCCCCATGGAGAGTTGACGGGAACGAACGTGCTGATGGTGCACAATGGAATTGACAAAACTGCTGAAGAATTTGACCTCACTGTCGAAGAAACAAAGACATACTTAAAAGAAGCATGTTCCATTTTGTACGAAGCTAGATCGGCAAGACCACGGCCTCATTTAGATGACAAAATTATTACAGCATGGAACGGTAAATAATGATGCATAGCATTCTTTTTATAAAAATAATTCTTAACAATATTTCCTATAAATCGTTATGCCTATAATGAATTTCAGGTCTTATGATAAGTGGCTTAGCCCGTGGAGGAGCTGCACTGGGCAATAAACAGTACATTAAATACGCGGAAGATGCGGCGAAATTTATCGAACGTTATCTTTTCGACGAGTCTAAAGGTGTGCTGTACCGTAGTTGTTACCGTGACGATACAGACAAAATTGTACAAACGTAAGTATACTAGTGTTATTAAAATTAAGTAGATCAATTGGGAAAAGAGAAACAAAGCAACGTCTGAAAATTTGTGTAGAACTTGTCGCACGTTTAAAGTTCACGACAATTCAACATTGAATTATGTTAGTGTTGGTATACTTGTGAAACGAACTCTGTAAATATACAGTAGAACTCCGCGTATCTGAACTCCATTGATTTCGTCGAAATTTTAGCGAGTACCCGATCAACGGAACTCCTACCGAGTTCTTATTATCTGAACGACGTCCAAGCGTCACTCCAGTTATGTGAACGTCTTTAGAATGCAAGAAACAAAGCAGAATCATACTGAGATCCTAAGAGAAGTGTATTTTTGTGAATGTGTGATTGAATTCACTTATTTGAACGTGAACTCCTATTATTTGAACGAACAGTTGTAGAGAATGGGGAGAATAGGTGGGCTCCTATTATTTGAACGGCCCGATTATATGAACTGTCTGTCCCCCGAGGAGTTCAGATACGTGGAGTTCTACTGTATTGCATTGTGTATGAATGGCCCATACGTGCCATTTAATTGGGCCACGAGAATCTGCGCAACGTTAATAAAATTACAGGACGTAACAGTAATTTTACCGTGATGCTTTTAGGAGCGTGCCCATAGCTGGTTTCCTGGACGATTACGCGTTCGTTGTGAAAGGATTGTTAGATCTGTACGAAGCCAGTTCGGACGAGAAATGGCTGGAATTCGCCGAGAAATTGCACGACATACAAGACAGCCTGTTCTGGGACGAAACGAACGGCGGTTATTTTTCAACAACCTCGAGGGATCCTGCAGTAATTCTGCGGCTGAAGGAGGGTACGCTTAAGCACTTTTGTGGTAATTTTAGCTCGGGGCGATTAAAATTCTCACACTTCCGTAACGCGTACACGGCGGTCGCGGTCACGTCGGGCCTATGAAATCAAGGAAACCTCGCGCTCGTTCTGTAGTAAAGTCGAGCGTGTCCAAATATTTATAGCCACGGTCTGTTCAGTGTTTCATTACGTCCAACCATTAAGTCTATCAGCCACGCGGCGGTTTCGCCGCCGGGGCCTACGATACTGAGTATTAACTTATATGAAAGAAAACGATACGCAACGGTGTATTTTAGAAGATTTATAACCTCCTTTACAGTCCACGACGGAGCGGAACCATCCGGTAACTCGATTGCCGCCGAAAATCTATTGAGACTGGCGGACTACTTGGACCGTGGGGAGCTCAAGGACAAAGCGGCACATCTTTTCGGGTCGTTTAGACGCTTGCTGATGCAGAGACCCATTTCGCTTCCACAGTTAGTATCGGCGCTTGTCCGGTATCACGATGATTCAACGCAGGTGCGTGTAAACCAGATATCGATACGTATACCCACGAGCAAACTCGGCTTCCACTAGGAGAAAAAGTGACGTAGGATAAGAGGCCTCCTACCACTTGGTAAATTTATTTCAAGTACTGAAATAAATGTTAAAAAATTTAACTTAAAATGCATGGTAATTTCGTATAAATTTCAGAAACTTCCGAATTCAAATGGTAGAAGGTCTTTTCTCTAGCGGAAGCCGAGTTTGCTCGTCGATGTACACTGACGTGCAAACTCGGTTTCCTCTAGGGGAAAAAGCAATGTAGGGGTTAGGGTCTCCTGCTTGATAAATTTATTTCAAATACTGAAATAAATGTTAAACCGAATGTTAATTTCGCATAAGTTTCAATAACTCCGAGACCAAATGGTAGGAGATTACATCACTTTTTCCCCTAGCGGAAGCAGAGTTTGCTCGCCAGTGTACAGGGCGCTGCAGCTTTTAACCTCTAAACTGTGCAAATACGGTTTTTTTGTGGATATACGACTTTACTTTGCCGGACCACAAATTATTCGACTTTTTTTTATACCTCCTGGTAGTATTTAACGAGTAGACTTTAAAAATGCAAGTTTTAGGTTTAGAAATCCACCGGTTCCAAAGTTAAGCGTATGTAAAAAATACCTATTTTTAGCATACTTTACAGGTTAGTTTAACGCCATATTGTCCTCGATCAAAAATTCGTCCAACGAGTGGAATTCACAGATTCAGTATTTTGCTTTGAATAAGTGGTTCTCTTTTTTGCAAGCATACCGATTTGATTGGACGCCACCCGCATGCATCTCCTTACAAGCAGTGACACCACTCATTGGGCGAATTTTAGATGGAAACCAATATGGCGTTAAACTAATCTGTAAAGCACGCTAAAAATACTTGGATTTACATACGCATAACTTTTTAACCGTTGGATTCCTAAACTTAAAACTTGCATTTTTAAATTCTACTCGTTGAATACTACCAGGAGGTATAAAAAAAAGTCAATAATTTTTGGTCCGGCAAAATAAAGTTCAGCTCGAAACAAAATTCCACCGTTATTCAATATTTACAAGAGTGATACGAAATGTTTATATGATAGGCCATAAATGTATTGACGATTCGTTGGAAAATATCACAGGAAACACGTAAATTGTGCGTTTCAGATTTATATAGTTGGAAAACGGGGGGCAAAGGACACGGAAGACTTGCTGAGAGTAGTACATGATCGTTTGATACCTGGAAGAATTCTTATTGTGGTCGATCACGATGAAACTCCAAGTTTAGTTGCTCGTAAAAATGATCATATCGACAAAATGAAAAGCTTGAACGGTCAGGCTACAGCTTACGTTTGTCGACATCGCACATGTTCTTTACCTGTTGCGAATCCCGAACGACTAGTCACATTGCTGGACGAACAATCAATGGGAAATTGTTAACAAACAGTAATTTATATTTGTAGACGTTTAAGGTGTTCTCTAGTTTTTGGTTCGACTACTGTGATGATCGCAGGTCTGTAAACCAAACGCTTACATATAAAAGTAAGTTTATAAATTGGAGTGCTGTCTACTATACAGTGTTATGTTCTTGAAACCATGAGTTACCGCAACATAATAAGTTACCAACTGTATTGTATAATACTAAACTTATTGTTACATCAGAGTCGATGAAAATAATGTTACATATAATTGTAAATATTTTTTCTAATAAAGTGAAGATTTGGGAGTATCAAATGGTTTCTTATGTTAAGGCATTCAGTGAAATATCGTGCACAATATGTGTACATTTGATAATTAGAAAAAATCGGAAAATTGTGCTTTCTTAGTGAGTCATTTATTAAGTTATGAACAAAAAACCGTTCGAGCATAAAGGGTCCAATATTCCTAGTTTATAATTTTCAAACCAGTAAAATTTGTTATCACAAATGGAAAAAAGAAAATTACGCAACAAGATATAAAGTAACCAAGAAAGCATTAATCTAAGAAAAACTTAAGACTAAATAAGTAGTCTATTCTAGAAATGCATATAACATTATCACATATTAAGGAACTGTAGTTTATACATGAAGATCTTTGTAATTAGATTCTGAACGTTTATCTACATTTGCATGTGACTTATTCACAAAAACAGGAATTAAAAACAGTAATCTATTAAGTATTCTGTTAGGTGTGTCAGAAATTACAGAAATGCACACGATACAGAGAATCTTAATTTTTGTAATTTGCCAAGAATATATTTATGCTATTTTCAATAAAAGAATAAATGAAACGTGTAAAACATAAAACCACTTGAAGCATAATAACAGTGTACGTAATTCCATTGATCTCGCCAGTCCATTTGGGTAGATGATAGAACAGACTTGTAATTCCTAATAAACCCCGCTAACAATTTCCGATCCGCACCGAATCGCCCCCCCCCCTCCCCAGCGCGTATTGGTTTTTGATCATCGACAGACGTTTTGGTTACGAGGAACGATGTAGTACGGTGGCTACCGCAAAATCTCGTGTCGGAATTCCAACCGAAAATAGACGCGGGTATATAAACCGCCAGAAGAAGAGGGAGGACGAAACAGAGAGAGAGAAAGAGAGAGGAGAAAGTTAGGTAGGAAGCCGGAACACGACGATGGATCTTTCGTTCGATCAACGGCGGTTTCAGACTGCGATCTTAACGCGGTTACGAAATACAGTGATGTCTCGATAAGTGCGACATACTCGTGTCCGCTTCAGAGCATTTATAGGACTTTAAAGTGTCAACAATGCAGTTTAATTACATCCTACCAGTTCTAATTAGTGGCAAAGAGTTTAAGCTTAATTCTTTTATTATGAAATCATTGAGATTATAGACTCATATAGATGATAATCTCAAACAAAACCGCTTTAATTAACTTCTATGTACTTTCTACTGGTTACTACAAAATAGTGAAGATATAATTTGTTTCTTACACCAGTAGCAATTACGCGTGACATTCATACTCTGTATTTACAAATTACAGGATTCCGTGCGTCCAGTTGTATACAAGTTTCGAGCAAATTGCCAGCAATAAATGATAAAAGTTGTCTAAAAAATCATAGACAAAATAACAAAATGACAAAGCAAATTGGCAGCAAGTTTTGCAACATAACCTATGTATGTCAAATTGCTGCATATGTTGCTGCCAACTTGCTGCCAATGTGCGCGCAAGTTGTAAATCTTGCAACAAATTTGTAGCCATAACTTTATAACAGGCATTGAATAAAATTTGGCTTTGCAGGTTTGGCTGACTGGGAGGTTTCAGCCTATTATAAATTTGTGTTTTACCCGAAGCTGAGCCTTTGCTTAGCTTCTGTTTATTTTGTTTTGATTAGTTCCACAGGAGGACTCACCCAGTGGAGGGAATAACGCTGTTGCTCGTGTCGCATTCATCGAGGAATCACTGTATGTTCTTCGTCGCGGTCCCAACTAGTGTTGCCAAAAGTAGGGAAAAAAATGGCCGCGTAGGGATAAAGTCACGTTGTTGGTTGGCTGGAGTGGTGTATAAGAACAGGATTAAGATTTTTGGGGCCCAAGCTATCATACCTTCGAGGACCCCCTTGGTTGAAAAAGGGGGGGGGGCACAAAATTTTTCTAATAAAACATTGTTACGAGCGTAAACCGTTGGGAAACTTAAACAAAAAAAAATACAAGTTCTCTGTAGCTAGCACAAAACATTTGAATAATGATACAATCAATTCACAATTTTGTGATTTTCATGCCACTTAGAATAATTGGGAATGAATCTGCGCGCTTGATATCGCTCCTTATAAGGCTGTCCTATTTATAATCGACCCACTCGAATATTTCCGAAACTATTGACGACATTAAACAATGTTTCAGACAAAAGTTAAATGGTATCAGGGGGCACACTATCTGATGTAATTTTTTCCTATGTGGACACGTATAGGTCATATGAAGGTCAACTTTGTTTTTTTCAATGGCATCCTATATTTTTTAATGCAGTATGATGTTGGTCGTTAATCCTTACATAAAGTACCAAGTCATTTATGGCGAATTGATACATTAACAAATACTCGATTCCATTTAAAAAAACAAAGTTGACCTACATACGACCTCTACGCGTCCATATAAAAAAAAGTTACTCGCATCGGAAAGTTTGCCCCTTGATACCATTTAACTTTTGTCTGAAACATTTTTTAATATCGTCAATAATTTCAAAGATATTCGAGTGGGTCGATTTAAGTGGGACACTCTGTATATTGTCTTTTCAACAGAATATCCTTATCTCGTTTAGGTATTTCAGGTTACAACGTAAAATAAAGTAGGTACATAAATCTTGGAAAATTGAAATTTACTCTAAATAAAATTAAATAACATTTAATCGAAAGGAACGCTTGAATATAACGAACAACACTTCGTTATATTTTAATAACTACGGTTCGATTTATTTCTACATTCAGTGCGATGTCGATCTATTTCAAAAGGAAAACACGGTAAACAAAATTTCGCTAAATTATTTTTTTTACATAAATGGAAAACTTAGATTGGGCCCCCCTACAAAGTGGAGCCCAGGGCTGTTGCCTTCCTCCTAGCCCCCTTGATCTGGCGCTGGTGGAGGGAGTAGTAGATAGGGTATACTTGTGCGTGACACGTCACGCTTTCGTTCGTGGTAGTATTAGCATGGTGTGCACAAGTCGCGTATTAATCCTATATATCCTTACGAAACGTCACCTTATCTCTGCAGCGGTACCTAATAGTGATGGGCACCATCGACTAAATTAAACTATCGACTAATGACTATTTAGTCCCAACATACTATCGACTATTTAGTCGATAGTTTTCAGTCGACTGAAATTTTGCTTTATAGGTTATGTATAGATTATGTCATCAACTTTTCAGCACCATTGGTGCATTTACCTTTTGGAAATGTATTAGTTCATAGATAGAATTTGAAAAATGTAAGTGGTAAACAAGTTTTTTTTAAACAATTCGATTTTTTGTAAGCTATTTAATATTGGCACTTAAAAAATTAACTGCTCTAAATTTTTTATGGAAATCAATTAAGTTATAAGCAATAATTTGCACAGTTCTTGGTAATGCATAAAAAAATATATGGAAAAATTACAATTGGTTTGCATCGCGAAGAAAATAGACAAGATCCAGTCAATAGCGATCAATAGCTTGATAGTTCAAACGACTAAATTTAGTCGACTGAAAGTAGTCACTTCAAGTGACTAATATTAGTCAACTGAAGTAATCGCTTCAAGCAAGTAAATTTAGTCGACTGAAAGTAGTCGTTGGTTACTATCGACTTAGTCGATAGTTTTTAGTCGATGGTGCCCATCACTAGTACCTAATTCTCCTGGTAACCGATTGGTCACGACACACACCAGGGACCAAAATGTTAGATCCTCTTTAATGCTGAACCTTGACGGCCGGCCAGGATGACAATGGTTCATCAGAGATCCATTCGCTAGGCTTGAAAGAATACAATTTACAATCTGGGGTGGTAGTAGCGGGTGGAGGGGGGGGGGGGTTCATGGCTGTTATCGATCGTACCACCGTTTAAATCAGGAACGATCGAGATTAACCTCCAAATCGTGGATCACCTTGAACCCCCTAGTCGAGATAGAAAAAACCTTCACGCGGTGGGTATGCACTTCACTAACAACGAAAAAAAAAAAAAAAGAAAACAAACAAAAACCGCGACAAAGATCTCGAGTAGGTCTCCGAGACTGCTTGGCTGGTTGCACGGCTTCTTCTGACCTGTTCTGGTGTTATCTCAACCCTTTTCCTTCGGTTCGAGCACACTATCTGAGACGTGCGCCAGCCAAAAGACCGAGCGGAGAGAATAGTAATGAGAAGAGGGACGGGGGGGGGGGGGGGAGGAAGAGAGGACAATTGGAGTAGGAGGATCCTCCAGATCTTCTCGAGGGAGGATGCAGGGAGGTCACGCGGAACGGATGGAGGCGAGCGAGGGAGGCGTGTAGACGGAAGGGGTCGCGCATGCGTTCGCTACGTTCCCGTCGACAAGGATGTTCGACGTTTTTTTCTCCAGTCACCGGTCGACGCTGCACCGGGCACCGTCGACGCGAATAAACTATCGACGACGCGTTCCGCCGCGGCGCCACGGGCCTGAGAGGAGACGAGGACTTGTTGGTTATGGGTTCACGAAACATCGTACAGGTGGACTGAGAAAGAGAGATTGTGTGCTCTCCGGGGGGGAGGGGGCCGTGATACACGTCCATCATACGGCGCCCGCGTATATCGGTTCATGTGTGTTATCGTCACCAACAGAGGGAGGAAGGGGGTGAGATCCACCGTTTGCACAGGGAGGTCACAGTTCCCGACACGGAACCGTGACGGCTGGTAGCCCCCACGCGACACGCGCCACGCGCTCGGCCTATCAATCTTGCCCCCCAGTCAAGCGAAGAAAGTCTCCCACACTAGGAACGGGACTTCCCCTTTACGGTACTTATAATAGGGGTTCCCCCTTGGTTGCTCGACTCCACCATCAGGTCACTCTTCTTCCTCGATGATCCGTCGAAGGTAGCCCGCCAACAGGCCAATCTTTCTTCTCCTCATCCGCGAGTGTCTGGCCTCTGGTAGCAGCCAGGTGAGCAGCAGGTTAGCCCAAAGAACGAAAAACAGGGGGCATCTCTAGGCCGAAGGTGAGCGAGACAGAGACATAGAGACTGGGCAGGCGCCGTATCGCGAGGCAGCACCTCGGACAGCAGAGATCTCTTGTTTCCTCGAGAGTCAGTAAAATGCGGCCAGCCCGAGGACTGACACGATCACGGGACAGTGAGGGACAGAAACACGATAAACGCTCGGCACGCCGGTAAAACCGAAAGTACCCCGTGTACGGTGTATCGTGTCCCCGTGGAAGGTACAATCCAGGTGGTAGCATAACAGGGGACACGCGTAAACATACGAACCGACACGCGTGAATCTCTACACACACGGTCTCCTCGATGTCGTCGGTTCTATCCGTTGCCTGCCAGGTCACGTCGGTTGGAGCAACGACAGTATCGCGATCATCATCATCGCACGATCTTCCCTGTGACGAATCATCTTCCAACGACCCAACGCCCGTCCAGTGTGATCTAGCGCGACGTTGATATCTGGCCCCCAAACGTTCCACCTGGATTCTCGTATATTGCTACCTGCACAGGTCAGACATTCGATCCTACACGTGCCAGGAGGAAGAAGAAGCATGTCGTTGCATTATCCCCATGGGTATCGGTACCGATCCGCGGCCAAAGCTCCGGGCCCGGGGAACGGCGAACAGGGCTCTGATAGCGATGTCGCTGAACTAAGCGATCTGGAGGATGACGAGGATGAGGACGGGGGCGGCCAATCGACCGACAGACGGATACTGCCGGATGATGATCAGGATGACGACGATGAGGACGACGATGAGGACGACGAGGATGATGAGGATGACGAGGACGGCGACGAGCTTCCATATCCTGGTTTCGTGCCGGTTGTTCTGCGATACCTCGACCAGACTACACGACCGCGCAACTGGTGTCTGGCGCTCATCACTAATCCATATCCTTTTGGAACGTAACGACCGCTACTGTCTACCCTACCCCTGTTTCGAAACGGTGATGTTGTTGTTTCTATGTTAGTTATGCATGCATTTCTTGCATTGTGTTTCATTTAACACTAGGTTTACGCGTCATTTTGACGCATTTCGAATGCTTTCTAACCTCGAAATTCTCTATGTGGTATACCTATCTCTATAGCTATAATTTCAGAGATCATAAATTGTGTATTATATAAAATAAGTTGTTTTTAAAGAAAATCTGCGGGTTCGTTGATGCGTGCCGTGGAGATACCTACACGATAAGTGCCCGTAAACCTAGTGTTAAGGGGGTGGGGGAATTGGCCCAGCTTTGCGTTTACACTTCGCGTAGGAATTATGGGGATGTTGGTGGGTAGGCTTTCAGAGACATTGTTGGCGATCACTGATTAATTGAGGATTCTGTTTTCGGGGAAAGGACTTTTGAGGAATATGCGCGGTCTGCTCAGATATGTCGGTGCTCGTGATATTGAATGTTTTGTTCTAGGGATTATTTTTGATTATATTGGAAAGAGCAAGCTATACAGGGTCAACCACGAATCGTGATCAGTAGAGATTATTCTATTATTAGTAGTTCAATCGAAAATGTTTGTATCAGGTATAGCATGGTTTCGAGAGAGCTTTAACATGATTATAGCAAACTTTTTCTCAACTCATTTATTTCACGATTTTTCAAGGTCACCTTCAATTTTTTACAAATACACCTATAATTTTTTTACACCTATCTGTTGGTGGATTTCTAGACGAGTTCGGTAAGTATCATAACATAACATGTGTTACTTTTTTTTACCTCTTTTTTTCGTTTTCCCCCTCTATACTGAAACGACTCTTGTTTAATAAAGTTCTTGCATATGTCCAAAAACAACGAATACACATATTCAAGTGCTAATTTTTACCATTTGGTTCATTCTTACTCATTTGGTTTCATTTTTACTAATTTGGACCACCTTGTATATAGAATCTAGTATGAGTCACGTGTGACCCGACCATAGGTTTTTATGCCCTTCATGCGATATTGAATCTCGTGGATAGCACTGTACAAGTTTCAGAAATGTAAATACACAAGAAAAAAATATTTTTTCCTCGAAAACCTTGAAAAAAGAAAGAAAAGACTGCAGAAGTTCGATATTTTTAACTTTGTTAATAATAAATGACGTCATTTTTATTCGTCCGGGCCCGCGGTCGTATTAAATTTTTTAATAGTCTTTCCGAGTTGAAAACTTCCACGGTTTTTTTCTGCATACATTTTTAATTCTTTGATGGTAGTAAGATGTTGACCGTAAACTTTCCGAGGCAACATTTCCCCAAGTGGTTTCTGCGGTACCGTCGTGAGAAAGGTTCCCTTCGTTTCGAAGTTTTTAACGTGATTCATTACGTGCACCCTGTCGCTATTGACAAAATCTATTTGAAACAGTTTTAATCTTCGAATATACTGGAAAATTGTTTGTCAAAAGGAAAATTGTTCGTTTTTCTCGTAGTATACTGTTACTAGTAAATTTATGGACCACGGATATACAGGGTGTCCCATTTAAATCGATCCCCTGGAGTATCTGTGAAATTATTTGTCATACCGGAAAGTGTTTCGAACAAAAGTTGAAAGGTATCGAGGGAGACATAATCTGATGTCAATAGTTTTTTTGTAGATGGAGGCGTAGAGGTCATATGAAGGTCAACTTTATTTTTTTCAATGGAACCATATACTTCTTAATGCATCGATCAATGCAGCTCGTCATTCACTGTAAAAAATTATTAATCTATTTACGTCGAGAAACTATTAGTTTATGAGATATTTTAATTTCAAAATTACATCACTAGTACCACTGCGCCATTGTGAATTAAAGTTATTGTTAATAGTATAAAATTATTATTAAATTCTTGTTTAATTAGTTTAAATCAAACGTTAAAATTCTCAATTTTGCATTTCTTACCCTAAAATACAACTACAATTGAATTCTGTTTCCTATATTTATATTCAATGAAAATATTTCAAAATTATACGTATGATATTATTTTAAATTATTTTTGACAAAAGCTGTAACGCAATTAAAATATTCTTTGGTTACTGAAAAAAATCAAAATGGACGCCTAAACGTATTAAAGTTACTATTGCTGTTAACTATAACACCAGAAAATGTTGAATTTCACCCACGTTTTTAACAGCACTCACTGTACAAGATCAGACTTTATATAACTAAAATGGATCGCGGCAGATAATATATTGATCCATAGACGTAAACTATATGCATATAGAATGGTAATACCACAAATATGAGTGGTGATCGGCCATTAATTTTCCACCTAACCTAATATTACGTCCCAATTCCCGGCCGAAACATCGAAAAATTCGTAATATTACGGTTCACGATTCTATCTAAAATTGAAAAATAAAATGGGAAAAGAAATTCTTTCGTTTATACGAGCGTAGATAACACCCATTAATTTTCCACCTAATCTAATACTTCTGTCCCTATTCCCGGCTGAAGAATCGAAAAATTTGTAATACATATTACAGTTTACGATCGTATCTGAAACCTGAAAAAAAAAGAAACTCTTTTCATAAAACAGAACTTCGTCGTAATGTTTCAAAATGTCTTCCAAACACTTTGAGCAGTGTACAGGGTGTCCCATTTAACGTGAGCACCTTTACTTGTTTGTTGAACATATAAAAAAATGCGAGGGAAAATTATTATTTGGTTAGAAGGAGCAAATACTGTGATGAGCAAAAATTTTTTCTCAAGATCATATTTTTCGAAATTTCAAGGTCAACGATGTTTTTTTAAGGGACTACATATTTTTACAAGCGTGGCGTAATAGTTGAGTGCAAGACCAATTTAGTGACCTATAATAGTGTGACCTTCGTGTGACCTTGAGTACGAAAAAAAACAACAAATGTACGAGATTAGATTTAAATAATAAAATAACAATGATAGAGAGCTAAGTGCAAAAATGTGTAGAAGTTGTTGGACATCATTTTGAGCGTTTGTTAAAATAAATTTTCTGCAAATCAAAAGTAAATAAGATATTTAAGGTGTTCACGTTTGGTGGGACACCCTGTATACGGCCTTTCCCGTTAAAATTATTCCACCTTGAAAATAGGTGGATGTATCTGAGGTTTCCGCCAGCATACATGCATCTCCATTTGGAATTTATTTTCCAGTGCCACACGAATATCGAATTTATTACTGCGAGCGAATTCTTTCGAGCCAAATTCGGATCTTCCTTTCTGGCTCGTAAAATATATTTTTATTGCTTCGACTGTCGAGAACTTTTCGATACTCTATTCTGCCCTTCCAGCGGGTACTTTCACGAATTTATTTCGTGCAAAAAAGCTTGTTTATCACTTTAAAAAGGACATGACCGAATCATACACGAAGCCAAGAATAACTGGATCACTGTAACGATCCTTGGGACCACATGTTTCAAGTGTACAGAGTAACCTCGATAGATGTTCCGATACAGTTTACGAGCAGTCGTAAAGCAAAAACTTTTACTGAACGTTGGAGGACGATGGATGGGTCAATTTTGATCCGAGTTTCCAAGATGTATCGAAGAAATTCGTTCGAAAATCAGTTTAAAATTAGGGTCCAAATGGACCCAGGCTTCATCTTTCGAGGGTCAAGAAGTTAAAAAACCACATATCCGTATTTTTCTATAGGGTCGACGATATTATCTCTAGTGTTTCTGTGTAGTAAGCGATATACAGCGTGGTCCAATAAAAAGTAGCACTTGAATATTTCCGCAGTTTTTGGAGATATGAAAAAACTTTATTAAACAAGAGTGGTTTCAGTATAGAGGGGGCTAAGTTTCATGATCTATCTTCTGAACTAATAATTATTCAATGTATATAGGTTAATACTTTTTTATAGAGAATGTCTAATTGCATCAACTGATGCATACAAAAATATATGATCTCATATGAAAAAGTTAAGGTGACCTTGAAATTTTCTAAACTCCATTCGTCTGCAAAAAAATTATTATCGCAATATTATAATCCTCTCTGTACTGAACAACTTTTGATAACAAAGTTTCATCGTATCTCCAAAAACAACTGAGATAATCAATTGCTAATTCTTATTGGACCACCGTGCATAACCGAGAAAGAGACGATTCTTCAAAGAACAAAAATACAGTAGGGCCTCTCGTATCCGAACTGAATAGGGAGACACAAGTGTTCGGATAATAGAAGAATTACTTTTCTGGTATTAAATTTGCAATTAGAGAAGGCATCTGTTACTTGGGAGACACTCTGTTCGGATAATAGAACGTTCGAATAGCAGAGAATTTGGATACGAGAGGTTCTAGTGTAGAAAAGAAAAGTGAACAATGAACTTCTTTCGTATGGAAACTTGGTGTTTGACGACATCAGGTTGTGACTGATTAATGTGGTGCTGTGTATCACCAGCTGTTTTCTACCTGTAACAATACAGACGGTGGGGTACGATGTGTTCTGTTTCCCATCAATTTTACACTTCTGCAGCACATAGCTTTATGTGAAATTATATTGTAGAAAGTGAATAGCACCGTACTATTCTCGGTGTTTATAGACACTGACATACATTGAAATAATCGTTAATAATAGGAACACTAGGTAGACGGTAGTAAAGAACATGTTATCGAACAACTTTCCAAAGTCGATTTTATCGTAAATAAAGTTTCACGAGAAAGAAATTTTATCGTGTCATTTTTGTAAATTTCTTTTTTGTATGTAGAAATACCTTTGTTTGTAGCAGTTATTTATCGGGACACCCGGTATATTGAAATGAGTTCAAAGTTTACGATATAGTAAATGGACTGGAATTGTTTATACCAATTTACAGATTTAGAGATTCATTAATGAAAATTTTAAATGTGAATTAAACAAGGGCCAATAATGATTAAATGTCTCCAGAACTATGGACCTGGCAGAAAAATTATTCGAATAATAGTTCGTTGTTTGACGTATTGTTTTATACTGGATAATTTTCAT